CATCACGCATCCATGGCTCCAGCGCTCAGCGCTCAGCGCTGGTCTTCGCCAACCTTCGCATGGTAAGTGAACGTTGTCACTTCTTGTGCAGGGCTCGCGCTCACCATCTATAGATTCCATTCAGGTATCCCAGCTACCGGCCTTCTGGAGCAGGTGCACCGGAACATGCTACGAGTTGGCGCTACATCCCGCGGTCTTTCGGCTATGTCTCAGGCGAAGGAGGCGAGACCGTCACCGGAGTCTATCCCACATAGCGCCCTCTGTCTTCTTTCGAACTTGGCGTGCTTGCCACGTTCGTTCTCAACTCGCTGTGCTACGCGATCCCTTCTCTCTTTCTCTCCCCCTCCCTGGACTCTGTCTCTGCTGGGGCCCGCAGATGTTTGTATGAACTTGTACGTGCATCACCATCTCGCGGTGACATCGACGGGCATCCTAACATAGTCCCATACCTACAGAAGTGCGTAGCGAGCCCATCAGTCTCCGACTACAAGACGATGCTGGACTCAGGCTTGCTTCCGGCGTGTGCGGGCGTCGTGGTACAGGGTGCGATGCTGGCACGAGTCGTGCTCGGACAATCCTTCTGGTTATTCGACGTAGGTCGCCCATACGCTGTCGAAGATGTTCGTGATGGCTCATTCGTCGACGCAGCGTCTCTCCCAAGTGTTCAAACCGTCCGGAGGCGTATTGTCTGCATTGGCTGCTGGGCCGCAGACCATGGAGGCGAAACCGTCACCAGGGTCAGCGTTACCGAGGGCCAGGATGCGTTACAATGCCCGCACACTCTGCTCCCTCCCGCATACTGTCGACCTCGCGGCTCGGCGCGCCGGCGCGCCTCACGTTGATTCGTGACGCTGTACTTCCCGTCGCGCGCTTATCGGCGGCGTGACGTCGAGCGTCATGAAAGAACATCTCGTGCTGCCGCAGTCGCTGTTTGGACTTCCTCGCAAACTCGCTGAGATGTGTTGTAACTGCTACGCAATTGTATGAAACCTGCGTCTGAACGGAAATTGTCTCCCTCTTAATGACGCCTGTGATGTCATCGCACTTCTCAGGCTGCTCATGTGGTTGCGCGGCATTTCCAATTGACGGAAAACAGAGGAACATTGCTGTACGGGCGCAGCTTGGAGTCTGCGGCTAGCGACATCCGGTTGTGATTCTAGTGTAGTTGCTTGTCGCCTGTGGTGAACCGACCTTGTGGCGCGGCTTCCTGGCCTGGTGGCTGACAGCGTATCTTCCCTAGTTTGTGTGCCACCCTTTCTTTCGCGTCGGCGCTGGCATTCTTTGCGCCAGAATACTCGCATTTCTTGCGACCCGGCAGTCGCCCGTTCTTGAGCAGGGAGCGGGATCCCGCGTACGATCAGTGTGTATATGCAATTTAAGACTGAAACAGCGCTAACCTTCCTACACGTTTTCGTCATATGACCGCTCGCTGATGGCGGTCAAGTTCTTTCGGGTCCGACGATCCCTGTAGCGGCGGTTAGGTTTGGGGTATAAACGTGCGTTCCCCAAGATCCCTGGTGACGCCTCCCACCACTACAGAACGGCTCTCGTGTGCACCCAGTATCATGGATGAGGTGAGTTCAACACCGAATTGCCATCCTCGAAGCTGATTGCCTTGCGTAGAATATCGAGATCGCGATCGCTCTAGTCGAGGTTGCGATTGCCAGAGCTCAGATGGAAGCCGCTGAGAAGCGACTTGCACACCTGTCAGCGAGAGTGAGATGTTCAATATCCTGGGTGCGATCCCTGCTGACTGGGTGCCGTATGTTTCTAGCAGGGCTCGTCTGTGTCAAACGCGCCCACTGGTGTTGGAAAGCCCACGACAGCCACCAGCGAAGTGAGCCCATTCGACCTTCGCAGCTACTTTACACCTTTACATGCGTTGGGCAGATCGGACTGGGCTCTGCCGGATATGAAGATGCTTTGACGCTCGAGGGTTTAGGCGCTGCGATAGCAGAGAAGGTAAGGGACCGCTGAGTATGGTTTGTTTAGGTGACTAACGATCTTCGCATCTAGAGAGGAAACGCCCAGCCGCCTGTAATCACTCCTGACGACGACTCGATTCAAGCGCCTGATGGTTCGCAATGTAGTGCAGATACGGGCCTGAATGACGACTTTGCGCCTGGCAGTACGGCGTCGGATGAATACGACGAATTGGCGGACGTGGTTGGAGATGACCACGAGCCCGCCGAGACGATCACGGCCCTCAGGAATGATGGTGTTGAAGAGCGGATGCCGGTGGGAGTGTTCATTGACCGCGTCTTTCGTTGGGGCGGCCTGGTATGGTCAGACTCGCAGACTAGGCAGGGCGTAGACGTTGAAGCAGCGAGGCAGATGGCTACGGAGATGGTAGGCTTTGAAGTCATCACTGATGACCAGGTGAGATCGTTACACCTCCCTCCGGCGCCGCTAACAGGGTTAAAGGTCGGCCAGCGTGCGCCTCTCGAGATCAAGTCCGCTTGCCAATGGGTTTCGGAATCTCGATTGGCGACGAAGGTGTACACATCGGTCGCGGAGTCAAACTACTCAGCACTCGTTGCGCAGGCCTGGTGCGCCATCCGACAGCTTCCGTACAACGAGGTGCTCAAAATGAACGGACGCTATGGACTCATCGGCATAATCCGCGCGATTTACCAGGCGAACGCGATAGATCCAGAGGCGCGTGAGGATTTCCGGATGATGATGCTAGACGCCGCAGAGGCCTTGCGGGCCATGCGCGAGACCATCTGGGCTGCGCGCTCCGCTGAGTTGGTACCCGCATCCGCGCCGATCACAGCACCACCAGGCACACTTCTCGACGTGCTGATGCAGCGTGATACCTACCAGACGGTGAGGACTTCGGAGGCAATCAAGCGCTTTGTAAGCGGAGATGTCATCGAGATTGACGACGACGACGACGACGAGTTGCATGATCAGAAGAAGAGAGGCAAAGGCAAAGACGGCGAGATGAAGCCTGCTATCCCTGCGAAGCGAAAGTCGACAGGGACGACGAAGCCTTCGCTGAAGAAGAGTAAGTTGGTTTAACCCGACTACATACGAGGCACGGTTCAGAGTCCTCGGCATAGCGTCTAGACTGTTGATCTCTTGTAATATCTGAATGTGGTATCTTTTGAAAGTTGCCAATAATATTGGGTGGATTAGTGCGAAAGACGCAATTTACGCTAGGTGACTGTGCGAGACGGTAGTCTTCAGACCGACTACGCGCTCCCATGATAACTCCTCAGTTCAGCTGCGAAGTTGTATGCAGAGGACGAGGGGAAAGGATGTCCACAATGCTCACAGCGATGAGAACATCCTCGGCAAGGCTTGTAATAGATCGGCGTGAACAAGGATACAACTGGTGGGAAAGCCGAAGCATCGAGAGCAACCATAGGAGGTACGTAGAGCTCCTGACATTAGCAGAGATATTATCAAGTGCTATTGAGAGTAGATGAGGAAAATGCGGCTTGTATGAGTCCGAGAAGAAAGAAAAAAGAACAAGACACCAAACGGAATCGAACAACAACTTCTTAAACGGCCAAGCATTGCATCGCGGACCACTTCGTCAACGGTCCTCGTGTTGTTTGCGGTGCTGGAACAGTATGTGTTTTTGACAAATCTAGGTATCCGCTCCGGAGTTCAAGCTTCAAGCTTCAAGCACAGTGGGTTTGTCTGAAGGCCGGCCATGACCGGAAGAAGGGGAGGCAGATAAGGTCGGCGACGGAATTTGGTCGATGGTCGGCGAAGCACGCTTTCTCTGCATCACCTGCACCTTGCCTCGCCTTGCCCGTGGCGAGATGTGGACGGGCGGTTTGCAGTGTAGAGCGGGATTGGGCAGAGACAGACGGCGCTTATAGATCGCGTGCAACTGGAAGGCCGCGCCGCGGCACGTTCGGCGTCACTTCCCCGCCGCGGTTCGTGTCCCCACCCCCACAGCCTTGAGGCCTGAGGCTACATGTCAGTGTCCGCCCATGTCATTTCCACACTCGCATCGATCCAGTCTATCGGCTGCGGAAGATACCCCAGCGGCACCTCCTGGTCTTCGCAAGCCCTACCATGTTCTCGGAAAAGAGTGGTCGGAAGAATGTGGTCGATATATGATCAAGCCCGCGACACGCGCTACTCAACGACCGGTATTCACTATTGTGGCGCATAACCAGTGCTGCATGTGCTGACAATGCCCTACAGAATCTGATGAAGGAAAACATCTCATCATCTCAGCTTATAGAGTCAGCGCAAAGAGTCAAACCTCACGTGTCGATCGGTTCCGAAATGACACATACCGTGTACGATCACAACAAAATCACGCTGGGTCCCGGGTTTGTGGTGAAGAACGTTACTACGCCCAACGAAGCTTCGTCGCTGGTCATCGGCAATCTGCCTCTAGCGACTGCGAGAGAGCCTCTTACACGACTCATCGAAAGCTTCGGTGGTACCATCCTAGATATGCAAATACCCGACAGGAGCACAGTCAACAGTGGTGAATCCATGTCTGTGGGCATACGGATGAGCTCTCATCTTGAGGCGGTCACTGTTGCCAATGGGCTCGATGGCGTCGTCGCTTTACATTGCTCGAACACGCTCTCCGTGCGGCCCGCAGATAATCACGTACGGACTCAATCCCAGGTGTCGAGTGCGGGCTTATATATCTCTTGGAAAGTCCCGACAGTCAACGTCTATGCCGGTTTCCGCTCGCTCAAGGCAGCTCGCAGAGTAGTCGCTCTCGCCGATGGATATGATTGGGATGGGTTCTGGATCACTGCCTCGATTTATGACGGCTTCCCTGTCATTGGCGAGCACAACGTACGCTTCAGCGGCCTACCGCCGGATGTGAAGTTGAACCAAGTTACCCGCCGCTTCCGTTGCCCGAAGGTGGATCTCAACATCGACAATCGGCCGCGGCTGCTACCAAACTTTGGTATTCCTCAGGTGTTGAAGCGCGTCAGCGAGTTTGGAGATGTCGACCATCATAGTGCGACACGCCCTCCATATAAGGATGACGTCGTCCGAGTGTGGTGTTGGTTCAAGAACCCCGATGTCGCCTATGTTGCCCGCGAACTCAACGGCGTCCCGCAGCGCTCTCTTGGGGGCCTACGGCTCGCTGTGAGGCGCATATACTCTCTCAGATATGCGATTGCTCGCAGAGTCTATAACTTCATACGAGACGACATCGAAGAGTTTCGCCAAGCGTCACAGCGTATCCGCCGAGGCTGCAATATCCGACTTCTGGATCGCGATGAACGACAAGGCAGTATCCTGGTTGAAGTCAGCTCCACGGACGATAGAAGTTTGCAGGAGATCAAGTCGCGTCTCGCCGACATTGCGCAGGGCGAGGTTCTCATGGACGGCAGTGTCCCGCTCTGGGACCGTTTCTTTACCACGCCCTTCGGCGCGGACTGGATGAACACCGTTCGGAAGGCCACTCCGAATACATTGGTGGTCATTCGCAGAGCTCAGTCTTGCATCCGGGTCATCGGCGCGCCAAATAAGCGAGCGGCTGTTCTTACCGCCGTCCGCGATTTTGTCGCCACGATGCGCCGTAAACCTATCTACACCATACCGCTCCCCGGCATTCAGTTCGGCGTCTTCATGCACCCAGCATTACTTGAGGCGCGCGAGAAGCATGGCTCAAGTAGCCTCTGGCTGGATCTCCCGCATCGTCAGTTATGCCTGCGCGGTGACGAAGCCATGTACGAGGATGTCCAAGCGGCTGTACATATTGCTACCAAGGCGCACTCGCATCACCTTCCGCAATATCGGTGCCCCGTTTGCTTTCACACTCCGACGTCAGCAATTCTACTACCGTGCGGCGACACATATTGCAAGGAGTGCCTCACGAGTTATCTGGCTGCTGGTACCGAAGCGCGACAGTTCCCTTTGACCTGCTTTGGCAGCAGTGGCGAATGCAAAGAACCCATCCCGCTTGTCTCCGCCCGCGACATTCTGTCGCCTACGCAATGGGAGGAACTCGTTATTTCCGCCTTCAATGCTTATATCACCACAAAGCCGGACGAATTCCGTTTTTGTCTTAGCCCGGACTGCCGGTTGGTCTACCGCCCAGGAGCAAAGGACAGCATCTACACTTGCCCCGCGTGTCTGATCCGCATCTGCTCGTTTTGCGATGTCGAATACCACGAAGGCATTGCCTGTGATGACCGTATACATGGACTTGACAGCGCATTTGACGAATACGTTCGCATACACGATGTCAAACAATGCCCAGGTTGCAAGGCCCCCATTGAGCGAGTGGAAGGCTGCGGCCATATCACATGCACGCGCTGTCATACACACACGTGCTGGAAGTGTATGGAGACGTTTGATAAAGGTGTCGGGATATACGACCACATGCGCGAGGCTCATGGGAGCATAGGGGTGTAGTGAAGGTTTCAGGCAGGTCTGGTAGCTGTGTGAGACTCGCACTTGTTCGTAGCATGCGTCGATGTATAGACGTACAGTAGTCATCGGAAGCGGATTCCGTACCTGTTGCGAGAACATGAAGTCGGGAGAAAGATAGAGAGAGTTGAACAAAGATGTAAACGATGAAAGGTGGGTGACATGGGGCGGGACTCCGGAGGCGCGCGGGTCCACGAGGCTACGGGTTAACGCTGACTATGGCACGCCCGTCACAAGCTATTCTACTCGTAGACACATGTGGCGCTACGCCATTGCGGCTATCGATTATCTCACAACCGACAATGGATTGTGTAGTACAGTATATCATTGAATTACTAGTACATTGGTGCAGAGGGCTCTACGAGAATGTATCAGACGATCATCCCTCCCTTCCCTCCAACTTCGTCGTATGCAGTAGACTGCCCTGAGCCTAGATGGTCACAACAGGTGTCGGCAGCTTGATGCTATGAGGCAGGGATGGTACTCGTGTCGGAGGCCCTGCGTGATACTTATGTGAGTGTGGTACTGGGGAGCAAGAATCCAGCGGAATGTACTTCGAACCGCCAATATCATGGCTACTCTCACTCCATATATCGAGAGGCCGCCGTAGTCGCGCACGCGAAGGTGATAAGGACGTGAGGTGAAGGACATGACGGCAGGAGGCAAGCCGGCGACGCCGAGCGAAGGCATCGCGCGCAGCCCCGAGGCGGTAACATCTCTTTCCGCACGCAAGTCATGTTCACCCGTTAGTTCTTGTTCGCAACAACGAGATTCCGTATGGATCCATCGACGTCAATGTCTGCTGGGCTCAGACTTCGCGGTCACACATCTATATTTGCTGACAGAAGACATCGTGGGTGTTAAGGTCACGAGACGATGTTGTCGCGGCAAAAGCCGATCCGTGTGCGGCTGATCACGGACGTTTATTAAGCTCTCGCGGCCATAAACTGGTTCTCAGAATTCCGCGATCAATCCTCTCCACAAGTCTGGTCTCACTACGCGCGTCGCTGTTGTCCTTCTACTCGCATATCCCTGCTTGCTTGTATCTGACTCGAAAGGAGCCATCGTGAATGCCCGCTTTGGAGCGCGGTGTGGGACTCGCTCTGCACCTGGACTATCGAGTCGTCTTCCGTAACAGCCGTCCCCAATCGAATGTCGATGTCTCCCAAGGCCCAAACAGTCTTCCCTGATCAATTCAACTGCCGGGGTTCGACGGTCGTCCTAGACCGTGTTCGTGGCAAATTTCAGGGTTCTTTCATCACTCTTCTCGAAGCGCATACTTACTGTTTGCTCATGATATTCCCAGAGTGTGTACTTCCTCGGACCCAAGGACACCAATACCCCTTCGCTCTTCATCCTTCACTGGTGTCGGCTGGTTTGTGAATTATTCCTGAACAGGTAACCGCCGTCCTGTATGAAGGACATTGGCTTAGATTACAAGGGGGAGATTCCAGTCACCTCGCCCATGGTCTCCGAAGGAGCAGCGCGCATGAAATGAAATAAACGTGTTTCTTGACACACTTGACCACCGGGGCACTGCACAACGCGTAGGTCCCAGCAAGGGCTGAAGTCACCGGCGAGAGAAACTTGGTATCGCCTGATGTGTCACCACGTGAAGACTCAACTACGCATATAAGAACACAACGGTGATTCTAATCGATCGAGTCGCCGTTTCATTCCCTCGTTCACGACATGAAGTTCGAGGACTGCACTCACGACGAGCGGACCACTCTGTATGCAAGTGAGACTGCAGCGCGCGATCACGTAGTGGTGCGTGGTTTCAACCCCGGCGTAAAGACGCAGTGTGTATCTATGCTGCTGTTCGCCAAGTCTGTACTGATGATAATCAGCTTCGATGCTATTGTAGACACGTATCTCTTGAAGGGTGCTCTTGCCATCCGTCTCAACTCCGAGGTTGCTGCTCTTCGTCACTGGCAGCAAGTTCTTTCAACTGGTAACGAGGTCGCCTGGCTTGGCTCTGCTTCCATCGAAGAGGTCAGCGCGTTCATGCTGTTGTGCACGTTTCTACTCATGCGTATGCAGCGTCTCGCTTTTCGGGAGGTTCTTTGCGATCGTTTACACGCACAGGGCAGCGTATTGCAGGCATCCGATGTCGCCAATACGTCCACAGGCATATGCACGAGCGCGCAAGCTTCTCTGCGCAGAAATGTCAATTCTCCACGCTCCTCGTTGGACACTCCTTCGGCCCCACCGCAATCGCCTCGTCCTACACCCCAGTCTCCGTCAACTTTTTCATCGCCTGGCTTTCCTGATCCTCACGACGCAAGACTGGCGGCCGCAGGCGTCGTCTCGTATGCACCGCCGCCTCGAGCCGGTGTTGGCTATAGGCCGAGCAATCTTCCTGCAGACTACGAATGTAGGGGCGATCGTTCTAATCACGCGTGGTACGTTGCGTGGAAGAGCCGCCGGCCGGGGATCTACTGCAACTGGTTGGTCTCGGATACGCAAAACGCTACTAGTCATGCTCATGCCTGCTTAGGGATCATGTTGAAGCTGCTCATGGGAATTGTGGCCGCAAGCGTCTCGCTGAGGGTCATATGACGTACGCTGCAGCCATTCAGCAGTGGGTCAAGCTTCGTGACGCGGATGAAATCAAGCGCTGGGCCTAAATAGTGGCTCCAGCGTCGTGTCCTTACTCTCGGCTTTATTAGCATGTCATAGATTATGTCTGCTCATGGCGCTTGCCTGGCACCCAGGGTATTGCCTCAAACGAATGCATGAGTTCTCGAGTCGTCTTTTTTGTTTGAATTTGAAAGCGCCGCGCCCATATGCAGAACCCCAATGACATAGTGGGTCACCGGTGAGAGGCCGTCAGATACAATAGTCAGCTCTACACGGATGGTCGGTTTTGTGTAGAATACATAAGTATATACTATACGTATAGAATCAGAGGCCTGTACGTAGCTGTACTATTCTCGGTATAATAATGAATCTCTGAGAAGTACTTCCGTTCACTCGGCTCGGCGCCAGGGGAGGTATCATCTCCTTGTCACATTATGTACGCACTGATGATTGCAAGTAGTATACGACCCAGTAGAGCCTGGTCATACGGAATACGGGGAATGGCAAGGGAAGATACAGTAGACCGAGCACAAGTGGTGCGCTCTTCGTGGGGCATGGCGGCAAAAAACAGCGCGGAGGCCGACAAAGGCCGACGCCCGCCACCGGATCGGCCCGTGCTGGGCCCGGTGATGTACTGCCGCATTAGGTAGCAACCAGCGCTCTTGCGGTTGGCCTCCCCGCTCATCAGCCACGGAGTGACGACACCCCCGGGCCCGAAGTGCAACACGAGGAGGGAAGAACCTGTGGAGAGCCCATCGCTAAGAAGCCCGTGAGCTCATGCCGGCGTGAAGGGATGAAAATATGCGTACTTGTGCAGAGTCCGTCAACTCAACGGCCTGCTCGTCGTTGACACCAAGCTCGATAACGAGACGTCGGGCGAATGCCAATGAAGCGTTGAGACTGACAGATGGACCCCAGGTCAAAGCCTGTAAGGTGGTCGACCTTGAGTCGTACGCCACAGTACCGAGCAGGAGGCCCTGGGCGCCTGCTACGGGTGTATTGTTGGCCAAAATGGCAAGCGAAAGCCTGATGGGCACGTCAGCATGATGAATCAAGTTCGTAAGTGGTATGCCTGAGGACGAAGACGAAGCAGAAGGACCGGCGAGCTTGTGGTGCCCAATTGCGACGGGGGAGGGGGCAGCATACACCGCCTGTGCTTGGATGACGAAGGTTGCGTGAGACAGGAGAGCGACAAAAGAAGGAAACGTGCGCCGGGAAAAAGGCCGCGATTATGAGAGATGAGAGGCAACCATAGGTTAAATGTAGAGAAGATCGAAGAGAGTGCGCACGCGCATGGTCGGAGTCATCCGCGCGACCAACGCGCGATGTATTGAGCGAATCCGGTCGAGTATGTCAAGGGAAATAGGACTATGACGGTCGAGCTTGTGAGCGCAGAGGATGTTTCTCGGTGTTTTCGTCCTCCCGCGGCTTACTGAGGATCAGCTTGGACACAGCTTGCACTTGAAGCGACACTCATTGACAGAATCTTGCCAAGCCGAGTGAGTATGCATCAGTACAACCTCAAGCGCAGGACACGCACCATCGTCGATTTGAAGACCCATCATCACTTCGTGCAAGTAGAGTAAGAGGGCAGACAGGGGCGGCCAGCTTACCCTTTATCAAGCTCATGCAGGATCTCGTCATGAGGTAACATGAGTGATAAGGCAGTATATTGCGTGCATCTACTTGATGAGTAAGGATGGGCAAAGTGCGAACGGCAGTGGTAGGAGCTATCGAAAGGGATAGACAAGCTTAAATGGTGGTGAGAACGCGCGTTCGCTGTGCTTGGCGTCTTGCAGTTATAGTGTGCGCTTGTTAGATACATAGGGCAGATCGAGCGATAGAAGGGAATAGAGAGTGGCGGTAGGTTAGAAAATGGCGCGAGTGGCGCGCGAGGGTAGAGACGAAAACTGCGCGCTAGCATCGTCGGTTCGCACTTCCCGCCCGGCCCGGAAGAACCATTGCTGCGGTCTCGTAGGCTCTAGCTCATTCACCAACATCGACGTGTGGCTGGGCTTGCGGAACACGCGCAGAATCGTTTCGACCGCCTTTTGAGTACTGGAGAGGAGCAATACCCATTCATCGTGGGGAATAAGTCTTCGGCCACAATAAAATGGAGGAGGACGAATAGGCGAGGCTCGCGGCGGAGGCTGTGCAGGCACAAGCTCCGACAACTAATTATGTCCAGCGCTGTATGTGTCTCATGCCGGGTTCGGTGGGTATCCTGTCCTGTGCAGATGTACGCTGAGTAGGGCATCATCTGACCGTATCGTAGTGAAAACTCGAGAGCCCGACGATGGCTGGCGTATGCTTCCTCAATGCCGCCTCCGGCGCCCCATGGCGATGGCGCCGGCGTTCGTACTTATCTCGAGGACGAGGAAGAGTTCTGCTGCCGCCTTTCGTCATTGCCAGGCGAGCGAGCCGCAAGGATCCGACATAACAAACAGTCACGATACCACTACATCCCAATCAGCTTCACTCATGTTGAATACTTAAAATCCTTTATGAACAACGAATGCGCAAGAACAGAGGATGCCAGGCGCCAGACTCTGATAGCATCAGAGTCGGATCATAGTCTAACAACACGAGGTTCGCAGTTGTGCTTCGGAGTACGACGCCACGTGTAACGGGTATGTAGACCGCAGTTGCAAATCGTGTTCTCCATGATGTGATGGACCGCCCAGTGGGACGTCTCACGCCGGGTACAGGTTTCCGCCCACATTAAAAAAGGCTCTCACTCGCCGCTACTACTTCCACTGTCTGGCGGCCCCCTCAATCCGAAATCCTCATCTTCTCGGTTATACCGTGAGCGAAGTCACGGCGAGGCGGCCGCTCAGAAGGGGCGCGCGAAGCCGTACTCATCTTGGCGCGGCGAATCAACTAGCCGAACCACAGGGAATGCTGGACACAATTCTTGCTCCCGCCCACCACTCGTGCATCGCCAGACGAATCCTGAGCGTCGTAGGAGCCGTCACTTGGGTTTTTGTGGCCAGAACCCGCCGCCGAACTTGTTTTCATCCTCGTCCTCGCTCGCGCCGACGTCTTTCACCTAGAACTGTCAGCGCTCACCCCCTTGCTCGTCTTCAATGGGTCAGAGTAAACTCATTCCACCGGTGTGGAACTCGTGCGTGGACGCTTTGGAGAGATACCGCTTTATGAAGGAGCGAAAGAAGTCGGAGGAGTTCATAACGGCGTTCGTCAAGGAGCTGCTGGTGAAACACCCGAACGCGGAGGCCTTGTGTACAGAAAGTGGAGATAATACGTCTTTCCGTCAGGTGTGTATAGATTCTCAAAAGGGAACGGCCTGCTGACGCTCGGCAGAAAATCAAGCACTGGTTTGGGAACCAAGGGCGCGCCGATCGGAAGCCGAAATACCTACCAATTGGCGACGACATTCAGCCCGCAATAAAATTCAAGGCGCCTGCAGTTGTCGCACATCTCCCCACCAGCGACACGAAGAAATTTAACGACCTGTTCGCAGCGAAGAAGCGGAAGCATGCGCAGTACGAGTGGTACCTCCGTGCAAACTGGGAGAGGGGTCTTCGGAAGCGCGCCGACGAGAGTTGGGCGAAATTCACTCCTCACCTCCCAGAGGGCGCTGATCTCGCGGCGGCGCGCACTCTGTTCAATCATAGGTTTGCCGCCGCCGAACTCGCCAGAAGATCGCCGGAGTACAAGAAGAATCTATTGACCGCTCACAACGACATCAAAGAGGAGGAGGAGGAGGAGGAGGAGGAGGAGGAGGAAGACTTGGTCGATGATATCCCTATAGAGACGCGCGTTCAGATTCAGGACTTGGTAGAGGAATGCAGGTAAGCATGTCTGGCAGTCCGGCTAATATGTCGCTGACGTTGTATTCGCAGTAACCAGCAGCTCTTCGACTCTGCTTGCCAAGCGATGCTCAACCACTTGTACAAGAAGACCGGAAGATCGTGTACACTGTTAGTAGGTGGCTGCGACATAATGAGGAATGGCGGACTTGAACCACGCGCGTATGTTTGCAGTGATCTCCAAATAGGATCTTCATCTACTGACTATAACGCAGTTACTCAACCGAACATGCTGATGGCCGGAGCTTCGTTCGCTCCTCGCATTACTCTGAGGATATCATCCAACGCTTCAGCGCTTTCCTGGCCGAGGTCTTTTGTAAGTAGTTTACCCGCAGAGCGGTCAATCATGCAACGTCGTACTGAAACTTCGTAGCTCCCGATACGCAGAAAGAGCATGCACTGTTCCCCGAAGCGCCGCAAGGCCCCCTCCACCTCGTGCCGGGCTTCACGGAAGAGGACACATCCCCGCAATCACAAACCGGAGACGCCAGTATCGCCAGTGCGCCGGATCCGTCCCCTGAACGGAATGAACCTGGTGGAGTGGGTTCCACGGGCATTGGGCAGCTGAGCGATGTCGAAAGCGAGGACGAGGGGCCTCAGCACAGCGATTCAGCGAAAGCGCGTGCAAGAGTGGATGTTTCTATGTCACCAGTTTTGACACCGCGCTCAACTGCCTCCGTGACGGAGCTTTCTGGAAAGAGCCTTGGCATAATGCGCACCGTCGATGATGAGTAAGTCGTAATCTTGCATATGACTAGTCGTGTCACTTACGGCAGCATTACAAGGGATACTTCGATGTCATCTCCAGCCGTCTCATCACATATCGTCGCGCACGCTGCGGTCGCTGGCACCTCCACACTTCAAGCTGGAGAACAAGGAAGAGACTTCTCTCCAAGTGCCAATGGGGGAGGTGGCTCCGCATCTACTATCGTCCCCAACGCTACTCGCACGAATGATGAGGACGACTTTATGGTGTTGGAACGTCACCAGTGCGGACAAGCACGGAGCGCCGCGCACAATGACACCGATGGAGAAGTTGTGATGGGCGACGAGTCCGTCGAGCGCCTACCGCAATCACTCGCTTCGTTGACCAGTAACGGACGAGCTGGTCCGTTAGACGAAGAAGGACGTATTCCGGGTCCTCCTACATCTGTGTCAACCTCGCCGCTGGCCAAGGAACGTGCGTCAGACATAACGGGCTCCAACGCCGATGAGGCCGCTCCAGTGGACGACGAGACCGCCGTTAGTCGGCGCATACAAGGCGACAGTACCTCCGCCATCATGCCGCAACCTCAAGAGCCTATGCTCCTTCCACCACTCTCTGTAAAGAGCGCCCCTAGCATCAAGCTTAAAGGACCCAGCCAGGGCCGCTCAGTATCTGTACCGGAGTCGCCGTCGGCCGAGGAGCGTGCGATGGGTATCGAGGGTCCCGATACTGGCGCCGAGGTGTCGAGACATCATCAGAGCGGACAGACGCAGAGCGCCACGGACCGTGCCGCCAACGAAGACGTTCCGATGGGCGTCGAGCTCGTCGAGCACCCGCCGCAACCAGTCGCTTTGCTGGCCGGCGCTGAACGAGCTAGCCCGGCGAAAGAAGAAGGAAGTGTGCAGGGTGGCCTGTCATCTGTACCGACCTCGCCGCTAGCCAGGGAGCATGCCGTGGATGATTCGGGTGTCGACGCTAATGAAGCTACTCCGATGAACAACGAGGCCGCCGTCGCAGTCGGTCTTCACGTTCAAGGCGACAGCGCCTCCGCCATGGCGTCTCAATCTCCCAAGCCCGTGGTCTCTCCGCCGCTCTCGGAGACTTCTTGCACCAGTGTTCGGCGTGATGGTGCGCCGATCTGTACTGGCGACGTCGCGAGGACGGAAGATGCGCAGGGTCTCTCTGCTGACGTGTCTTCCCCTTCACCGGAAGTCGAGAAGGTGCAGAACGACAATCGGCTACCACTCACGAGCGTTGCATCCGACGCCCCGGAGGAATTGCAATTTGACTACGACGAACTAAGGAAGACTGGAGACCAGCTTGCTAACATCGGCTTCTCAGACTCCACCCGCTCCTCTTGGTTCAAGCTTTTGGATCTCTGGCTTGTTCATGAGAAACAAGTCGGTTTTCAATGGGGTGATGTATGTCGAGACGCGCATATTCCCGATATCTTCTCACTCAAACATACAGGGGCAATCGGAGCTATACTCGATGCAAGATTTCCCACCGTGGTGGCCGAAATTTGTCGTGCATCGCTCTCATTCGGAGAAATTGGGCCCCAATAATGCCGCCGCGCACGAGAAGGCCTGGCGTAACCTCTACACTGCACAGCAGCCGGCGTGGCGCACATCAGCAAGTAGCTGGCCGCTACCGCGTCCTGAACACTGTGACGAGGTTTCTTGGAGCAAGATTCGCAAATACGGACCGAAGGGCGTCGTGGTCTTTCTGACTGGGCTCGAGATGTGGGCGAAACGCGTCAAGAAAGACAACTCCGGTCAACTTCAAGCTTGGAATGGGGCTCTAGAGGATCTCTCTTGGGTTATGGGGCAGATGATCCAGACGTTTTCCGGCATCGTGACAGGCCCGGAAGACGGCGGTATGGAGAAATCATCAGCGAGCCGAAAGCAACAATCCCCATCGAACGAGGCGTCGTCTGTGACCAGCGCTGGGTGGCCCTCACGCGGGAAGCTGGAGCCCGGCATCTTGAAGAGGAAGGAGCCTCCAGATGACTTGGATCCACTGCAACGAAAGCGTGGAAGGTATAGGTTGTGCGCTATGTTAACTTTCGCTTGACTGACTATAATCATTCAGAACTAGGCGGCGGTGACTAGTGCATGCTATCATGTGATGGATAGAAGACCCGTGCGTACATGCACCATTTTGTCGTACGGCCAGTACGGTCTACGTTCGCATGGCGCTGAGCACTCTGCGCCACAAGCGGACCCAACTGCGCCGTCAATGCCCCCCGCGCCGGTCAGGCAACGCCAGAATTGCCGCTCGCATGGATCAAGTGATTCGCTCGCAGTCTCTGCTCTCGCTACAGGTATATCTTTGTACACTTCGTTAACTTACGCATCGCATCTTGGATATTGTTATAGATTCATTGCTGTCATAGAGGTCTTCTGTTGGTATACTTATTGCGCTATTTTGTACTCCCGAATTGCCTATATTTATTTGTGTTGGCCCATCTCATATCAAAATGCCATTCCGGCGCTGACTTCGATGCGTAACGAAAGACCGCTTGCGGTAGGCCAAAAGCCGAAGTTGAAGGCGCGCGACAATAGTGTTGTACCATATCGAAGCACGCTAGCGCAAAAGGTGGGCATTGGGTTGCTCGGACGAGTATTCAGCGTACATAACGTGCATGGACATCTAGGAGCACGGGAGCTACAACCAAAAATCATCCGTAGTGTGGGCTCTGAAGTAGTCTCGGAATCGAGATGCACATAAGGCGTACGTCTCGCCTTACATGAGAATGTCGCGATTGATAAGGCTACGAGACAAACGACGGCGCGAACGGAGAGGGAGTGGCCGCTCGGAGAGGGAGTGGCCGCTCGGAGATACTCGCCGACGAAGATCGCCTCGCGGCATCATAGTAATATGTGGTGTAGACGTAGCGATACGATATCTGCAAACGTTTGTCCCTAACGGGACTGTGGCAACTACCAAAGCGGAGTGTCGGACGAGGCAAGGCCCAGGGCGACATGACACGTGATTCTCAGCAGTGGCAGTAAGTATGCACATTTGTAGAACAAACACGTCGACAACGTGGAGCAAGAGGCGGCTGGATGACCGTACGTCCGATGGCAGTATGTAGACAGCGACACATCGTCATCTTGGTCTTCGCATGGGGGACGCCGCGAGAGTCGAAATCAACCGATACGCCCGTAGTTTGACCTGACTCGGCGTTACGGTGCAGCCAACGTTCCAGGACCGTGTTCGCCGATGTCTGCCAGATGCGCCCCTCCCTTTGGCGGGTGATCGGAGATAGGGCCAGCGTATCTTGGCAGATCACGCAGTGGCCTTGCGGCCGGGGGTTCGCACATCTCCTGTCCTGCTCTGCAAATACCGCCCGAATCCCACGTCAATTCTCGGGCAGTCCGCGGCAGACATACACATCCTGGCGAGTTCGTCTCGTGGCGTTCCCCCATGATGGTATGCCCGAAGGCAGCGCTGATACGCGAAGACAGGTATGAGCGCGGGGCGCATCACGACGCTCGACGTCACGCCGCCGATAAGCGCGCGACGGGAAGTACAGCGTCACGAATCAACGTGAGGCGCGCCGGCGCGCCGAGCCGCGAGGTCGACAGTATACTGGAGGGTGCAGAGTGTGCGGGCGTTGTAACGCATCCTGGCGCTCGGTGACGCTGACCCTGGTGACGGTTTCGCCTCCATGGTCCGCGGCCCAGCAGCCAATGTAGACAATACGCCCCCGGAGGTTCTGAACACTTGGGAGAGACGCTGCGTCGACGAATGAGCAATCGTGAATATCATGGATAGCGTATGCGCGACCTACGTCGAATAACCAGAAGGATTGTCCGAGCACGACTCGTGCCAGCATCGCACCCTGTACCACGACGCCCGCACACGCCGGAAGCAAGCCTGAGTCCAGCATCGTCTTGTAGTCGGAGGCTGGTTGACTCGCTACGTCCTTCTGTAGGTATGGGATCCGTGTTGGTATGGTCGTCGATGTCACCGCAAGATGGTGATGCACGTACAAGGTTGCGCAGACATCTGCAAGTTCCAACAGAGACAGAAG